AGGGAATTGGACTGGAGGGAACATACCTCAACATAATTAAAGCTATATACAAGAAACTCACAGCCAATATCATTCTAAATGGAGAAAAACTGGAAGCATTCCCATTAAAATTAGGAACCAGACAAGGATATCCACTATCTCCACTCCTTTTCAACATAGTAAACTCTTGCTAGAGCAATAAGACAGGAGAAGTAAATCAAAGATGTACTAATTGGAAAAGAAAAGGTCAAACTATCACTTTTTGCAGATGATGTGGTACTATACCTAAGAGATCCCAAAAATTCCACCAGAAAACTCCTAGAACTGATCAACACTTTCAGTATAGTGGTAGGTTATAAAATCAATCTACAAAAATCAGTAGCCTTTCTAGATACCAATAACAAGAAATTGGACAAAGAATACAAGGAAATACTCCCATTCATAATTGCTGCCCCCCCAATAAAATATCTTGGAATAAATCTGACCAAAGACACCAAAGATCTCGACAATGAAAATTTTAAATCATTAAAGAATGAGATTGAGGAGGACACCAGGAGATGGAAGGACCTTCCATGCTCATGGATTAGAAGAATTAATATTGTGAAAACGACCATCCTACCAAAAGCAATATATAGATTCAATGCAATCCCAATAAAAATCCTCATGACATACTTCACAGAATTAGAAAAAAAAATCCTTAAATTCATATGGAAGCACAAAAGACCCCAGATAGCCAAAGCAAACCTGAGCCCAAAGAGCAATGCTGGGGGGATTACTATACCAAATCTCAAAGTATACTACAGAGGTATAGTCTTATAAACAGCATGGTACTTGCACAAAAATAGACATACAAATCAATGGAACATCATTTAAGATCCAAACCTGAGTACCCACAATTTCAGTCACCTGATATTTGGCAAAGGTGCCAAGAACACACAGTGGAGGAAAGACAGCATCTTCAACAAATGGTGCTGGCAAAACTAGATCTCCACCTGTAGAAGAATGAAACTAGATCCTTATCTTTCACCTTGCACAAAAGTCACCTCCAAATGGATCAAAGACCTCAGTGTGAAACTGGAAACCCTGAAACTATTAGAAGAAGATATTGGCAGTAACTTACAAGATTTAGGCGTAGGAAAGGATTTTCTAAATTGGACAGAAATTGCTCAGGAATTAAGGTCAACAATCAACAAGTGGGACCTCATTAAACTAAAAAGATTCTATACAGCATAAGAAACTATCAAGAAACTGAAGAGAAAACCCACAGAATTGGAAAAAATCTTCACCAATGACACGTTCGACAGGGGTTTAACATCCAGAATATATAAAGAACTCAAAATACAAAGAATTGAGAAAGCAAAGTACCCAATTAAAAGATCTAAACAGAGAGTTCTCAAATGAAGAAATAAAGATGGCTAAGAAACATCTCAAGTGTTCAACATCATTAGTCATTAGGGAAATGCAAATTAAAACCACCCTAAGGTACATCTTACCCCAATCAGACTGGTTAGGATCAAGAGAACAAATGATACCAAATGCTGGCGAGAATATGGAGAAAGGGGAACACTCATTTGCTGCTGGTGGGATTCCAAACTTGTGCAACCTCTATGGATAACAGTGTAGAGAACTCTTAAAAAAATTAAAGATGAACCTACCATATGACCCAATTATATCACTTCTTGGCATATACCCACAGGACTCATCGTATTGTAGAGACACTTGTACATCCATGTTTGTTGCTGCTCTTTTCACAGTAGCTAAGAGATGGAAGCAACCTAAGTGTCCCTCAATAGACACGTGGTTAAAAAATGTGGTATATTTACATAGTGGAGTTCTATTCAGCAGTAAAGAAAGATGAAATAATGAAATTTGCAGGTAAATGGATGGATCTAGAAACTGTTATACTAAGTTAAGTAACACAGACTCAGAAAAACAAACGACACATGTTCTCCCTCATATGTGGATCCTAGCACCAAATCCTTTTAAATTCCAGGTCTCTTTAATAAGATGATGCTGTACAGAAGTCCCTTCTGCATGAAATATCTACCATCGTCACTTCACTTCAGCCTGATCGCTAAACATTGTCATAATTGGGCTTGTTGATGGTTAAAGGAGGGCCAAGCAGGGTCATTGGACCTCACCACATTATCCAGCTCTTCCCAGCTAACTGAATGTAATTTGACCCTAATCACACATGGCCTCCTGGATTTGGGGAGGGATAAAGTATACAAATGGGGAAGCCTAGGAAGAGAATGCATGACGCATGCTGGGTAAAGGCTTTCCAGTGTACATATGCTCAGGTCATACATACACCTCAGCAACCCCTCAGTTATTCAGTAAGTAACCTCAATAAATTCATTGGTTCCCCAGTAAAACTTTAATCAAACATTGGCTGGACACTGGAAACTTGAAATGGAATAAGCATTGCATAGTACCCCTAGGATAGAAGTCCACAACAGATGGAAAATTTATTTGTTAAAGATATTGTGTCTCATAAATATTTTAAAAAAGAAAGAAAATGAGAATGTAAAAGATGTTAAAAGGATATGGGAATGGAGACATTTTCTAAAATAGAAAAAATAAGAAAGCCTAAGCAAGTGATGAAGGTCTGTTTAGGTTTGTTATGATATATAAAGGATGAGACAAAAATAATATACACATAATCTTAAAATGTCTATGGTCATAGTTTAGTCAACTAGTTTAAAGAACAAAATATATATCGAGTTGAGTTTATCTGAGAATATTTGGGTTTTTTTCCCCAAGCCTTATCTACATAGCACATGATAATTAAAAGTACCAGGCTAGTGGAACTAACATTATTGGATGTTTAACAGATATAGTTTGAGGGCTATACTAATATGGTCAGAGGGACTTAAAGGACAGTTTTTGCCCCTTGCCTTCCAAGGTCGACTAAGTTCCAGAGGGCTATGGAACATTTCTCAAAATATACTGTAACTGTGGTGAGTCACCTGTCCTCTTGTTCAGGGAGGCCATGGAGACCCCACAGGATGGACTTGAACCAGTGTCCAGTCTACAAAGAGGAGGGTTAACTCAGAGGAAACATCTCCTTCATGTTTCCAAGTGAAGCCAGACATGGTCAAGCAGGACCTTTGACTTATCTTCACAAAGATGGAACTGGTAAAAGAAAGGAGCCAGGAGCTCCTCCCAAGCCCATGTGACCCCTGAAGAACAAAAGATCCTCAAATGACCTTAAGTATAAAAACGAATTGATTTATTTGGGCCAACTGTATGGTCTTAAACACCCAAGAGGAAAGTATAACCAAAGAGTAAAGTTATCAGTATATTTCTTTAAGAGTTCAAGGGGTTATACACTTCCGAGACATTAGGCTTAAGTCTATATAAAAAGTTATTTAGACAATCATTTCTCATTGATGATTTTGTTCCTAACCAGAAAGTGCTGCTCAGATGTAAGACTTCAAATCTTGGTCTTCAATACTGTAGTGCCTGCCTGTAGCTAAGGGAGACAACCAGCTGTTGGATAAAATGATGGATAAATTTGTTTTCTCCGTTATCTAGAAGCCTTTGAGAGGGAACTGACACTGATTCTAACCACTCCAACAGCTATCAAAATACCTGAGAGCAAATCCTGAATCCATCACTCTAGAGTCCAGCCTTGGAAGACAAAAGAAAAATGAGGAGGAACCCAATAGGGGGATGCTTTTGAAAGCCCTTGTCAAGAAATTCCAATGGACTCTCATACGAGCATTTGAAAATTGCCATTCTGACTTTTTTCTAGCTCCCCATCTAGAACTTGTAATGCTAATTACTCTTGCCTTTACTTCTCCTTCACATCTCCTATTCACAATTCAAAGACTTTCTTTTCATCCTTGAGATAAGAGTTATGCAATTTGGGAGTCTTTTAGATAGGCCCTCTGAAGGGGTACTCCAATTGTCTCACCCTGTGTTTCCATTCAGCATGCCAGAAGCCAGAGTGGTCTGCATCCTGATTCCCTATTTGTAATTTGGGTAATGTGCTGGATAGCTTTAGTGTCAACTTGACACACCTGGGTTGAGGGAGCCTCAATTGGGGAATTTCCTCTATTGGACTGGCCTGTGGACATGTCTGAGTGGCATCTTCTTGATGAGTGATGTGGGAGAGCCCAGCCCACTGTGGGTGGTGCCACGCCTGGGCAGGTGGGCCTGTGTTGCATAAGAAAGCAAGCTGAGCAGAGGCCAGGGGAGCAAGCCAGTAAGCATTGTTCTTCCATGGTCTGTGCTCCAGTTCCTGCTTCCAGATTCCTTCCCTGAGTTCCTACCTTGGGCTCCCTGATGAACTGCGACCTGGGAGTTGTAAGCTGAATAAACCCTTTCCTCCCCAAGTTGGTAGTGGTCAGAGTATTTTGTCACAGCAGTGAAGAACAAACTAAGACAGGTAACCTCTTCAGAGAACTGGTGTGATAAGAGTAGGAGGTAGGAATTGGCTAGGCAGTTAGGGTAAAAAGATCCCAAAGAAAAGTAGCCAGTTTATTGGCTAAAACTCACAATGTCCTTAGGCCTCTTAACCTATTCTGTTCCAAAGGCCAAAAATGTCCAAAATATTTGGCAGCTTTTATCTAATCCTTAAGAGATTTTTGGGTTACCTCTTCAGAAGGGGGAATGTTAGAATAGCCAAAAGCCCCATAAAAAAATTAAAGGAGAATAAAGAATACATAAAATTATCAGAAAAAAAGTGATGGGGAGAAATGGGAGGAGTTGGAGGGAGTGGCCATGGATTTGATCAGAACACTTTATATGCATGTATGAAATTCTCAATAAAGTATTTATTTAAAAAAAAATGCTGGATGCAGAAGAGGATCATTTGTCTACCTACATTTTTTAGTAAAGTTCTCATATCTCATGAAGAAAATGGGAGAAAATAGTGAGCAATTAATGTTTGAATTGGGACATGCTTCACAACTTCATTTATCTTGATATTTTCTGAAAAGCAGAATAAAGGTATTAAATAAGTGAACACCAAATTTAAAGAAATTATAACATTCTTATTTGCATAAAGAAAATACCTCAATGCTGCCTTAGTTCTCGGCAGCACTAGTAGCTCTGTCTGTTCACCATTCATAACTTCTCTGTTTTCCACGTTCTGTATGGAATCCTGTAATGAAACAAAGCCATAAGCATGTAGATGCTGTGCATATAGAATTGAAGATTTGAACAAAATGTTTTCAACCCGAGAAAGTAAATAGTTTTATTCTGGATAGAGACAGTGTGCTCCAATTTCCTTTAAGACCGGTAACAGGTGTTAATCTTTTCAATGCTTTCAATGTGCTTTCCTCTCCCACTTGGTTTCTGAAATGCTCAAATGTTCCATTTGCACAAGGCAATATGTTAAGAGCTGTGGAATACATCATTTAACTTCCTGCTACTCAACCTTAGGTTTGTGGATTGTATTTTAACTCCGCATGGAAAAGAATACTAAAAGGAAATCTCCAGGTCTTGCTTCTACCTCCCCAGGACACTAAAATACAAAGAAAGCAAGTCCATGGAAAAATGTTGCCTGGCTTCCAGGAGTGGTGGCTCCTGCCTGTAATCTTAGCACTCTGGAGATGGAGATGGGAAGATGGTGAGTTTGAGGCCAGCCTGGCATGTAATGTGAGTTCTAGGCAAATCCAAGGTAGAGTGAGACTCTGTCTCAACAAAACAGAACAAAATAACACTACCTCCAAGACATTTGTGCAGGAATAGTGCAGGAAGGAAAATTCTTGCTACCCATTACCATAGAGAAATCGAATTGATCACTTAATTTCTGAAGTTGGAAACATACTTCCTTAACAGAGATGGCAAGAATATCAGAGACCGATTCCATGGTGGGATCACTTTTTGGTGTATGATGGTGGTGAAGTGGAATGGATACCCCTAGAGAAGTAGAGGGAAGGCAGATTCTGCAAAGCATGCTTAATGTCAGTTCTTCTTTATGTAAGACATTAGTTTTCTGTTTGGCTGTGGAACTGTTCCTTATTAGAATGAGGCTGTGGACACTCCTCCCATTAGAATCAGTTATAAGTAATGCGATTCATGGACTCTTGATTTCACTGTAGCAACAAACCACTTGGAAAAGACCTGTTGTCCAAACCCTCTCCTATGAAAGATATTTATGTCTCTAAAATGCAGTATTTCAACAAATGAAAGAAAGCACATGAACTAAGGCGTAAGTGAATTGGTTAGTATCTTGAAGAAAACAACACAGGGCTGCAAATGAAGCATGTTCATATACTAAACTGACTTTTTAAAAGTCGCCCATGCTTTAGATGGGTAGCCACATTGCAAATTGCTGTGTTTGTGAAAGACGTCTACACTAGATATTTTTTTAAGTTCATTTTCTTTCTCTCCACATGGCTCAATAAAAGGAAGAAAATCTATAAGGTTAAAGAAAACAGTAGTTTAGGGTAACAAAGCCTAATAAAGATAAATGTCTGAAAGTTTCTGAATATTCCTATTATTATGAAGCACTTGATAAGTTCTTACAGAGCAAACAAGGTAAGACAAGGCAATTTACAAAAATACTTTGGAAATTAACAAAATGTTTGAAGCTATGACAACTATACTCGTCAAGATATTTGGTAAATGCATTAATGCCAAAATCATTAACTTTTCGTCTATCTTGCACAGAAAACCTTGAGTCTGATCCTCAGAGAGAGCCAGAATTCATTGTGTTAGTTTTTAAAAGCTGTAAAGTATCCAAAAACTTTATGGATTACAAAATAAGCATAATATTTCTTCTAGTTTCTGAGAACCAGGGACTTAGAAGTGACTTGGCTCGGCAGTTCTGGGGTGTGACTTCTTAGGAGGTTACAGTTGAGATGTACATTGGTTTGAAGCTACCCCAGCAGGGGTGCCCAACATTTTGACATTGCAACATGACATGAATCATCTGTGGATACGATGGGCCACGTTCCTTTCTTCTAGGTTTTCAATGCTGTTCCACTTATTGACACCCATCCTTATGGTACCACATTTCAGACTGCCTTAGCTTTGCATTCAGTTTTGAAATCATGTGTAGCTCCTCCAAATTAGTTTTTTTTTTCCATGCTGCTTCATTATTCTGGGCCTCTTACATGTCTACATTGATTTTAGAACCAACTTGTCAATTTCCACCAACACGGAGGTTTTGATAGATATTACATTGAATTTATACACCATAATGCCATTATAATGACATAAAGTCCTTCAATGCATAAACACTTAACAGTGGCAGTTAATTAAAACAAATATTGCTTTTCATTTTCAAACTTTACTTAGATATACACAACCAGGATGCTCAGGCAAATAAAACTGAGTATTTATTATAAAGCTTTAACTATTTCTGCCTCTCTGCTTGTAATTCCATGTGGAATATTCTCATTGTTCCCTAACTAGGGCAAGAAAATGATATACTTTCTGGCTCTAATAAACTTTACTCAAGGTTAAGAAGAATTTTCCATCTAGTTCTAGTTAGATGACAAGTAAAGAGTCTATTTACACCAACAATATACTTGAAGCACTATATATTTGGAAATGTCAATTACAATTTGAAAGCAATATTGGATCAATTGGAATGTGATAATCTGCTCAAGAGTAATCCTGGGCTGACTACACTTTGAGAGCAATCATGCCAATAACTACACACTTAAAAGAGAACACACATGAGGCTGGAAAGATGGCTCAGCAGTTAAGAGCACTTGCTGCTCTTATAGAGGTCCCCAATTCAGTTCTCAGCACCCAAGTCCTGTGGTGGCTCATGACCACCTGTTAACTCTGGCTCCAGGGGATTCATTTCCCTCTTTTAGACTCCATGGACACCTATACTCACATGTGCACATTCTCACATGCAGATACACAAATACACATTTAAAATAAAATAAATCCTTTTAAAAAGGGAACATACAGTTATAGGTTTTATGTCTTAAACAGTAGTTCCAATATTTTAAAAGCAGCATCAAAAACTCTTTGCCTTGCTACAATTGCCATAAAGAGACAGAAACTAGATCATCTCAGCTAATAGGCAGTGTTAGTCACTTGACAAAATCCTTTCAGAATATTGCAGTAAGAGAATCCTTTACCATTCTCTAGGGATGAGGCAGGTAGGCCCATGCTAGGGGCACTCCACAAAGGTAAAAAAAAAAAAAAGACAACTCCGAATTGACTGTGGTAACACTCAATCATTACAGTACTTCACAACTTAGGCCAAGGGCAACTCAACTCTTAGCAGTTCCCTCAAACTTCAAAATTATCAACGTGCAGTGATTTAAGCACACTCCAGTTTTGCCTTCACTAAATTATGTGATGAAGTGAAGAGCCATGAACTCACACCTATCTAAAAATGAAAATGAGTTTTTTTTTCTTCGTAACTTATTTAAATAACTTTGGGAAAAATCTGTAAAATCATGACTTTTAAATTTGGAAGGAGGGGCAAAAATAACTCTGATTATGAAGAACAGAAAGGTCTGTATAACTGGTGCTAAACAGCTTCTATATCTCTTCAACTTTAGGTTGGAGAAATATTAATTATGTGATTTAAAATTCCTAAACTTGCCTCTAGAAATAGAAGCACAATGTTTTGGAAGGTCTATATTTAATTTTGTTAATAAAATTATTGCAATTCCTATTTTTAGTGCTATATTAAAATGGAGGGTGAAGATGAGCTGCAAAGAACATAGGGTGAGAGGTTTAAGATCTGCCTTCTGCTTGAGCCACATTGCTACCCTTTGCTCCAGACAACACTGAATGGATCACGTCTTGTCACTTTCAAAGGCTTGTCCTCTGCCTCTTCTATCAGATCAGACAGCATATATGTTGCTCTCACAAAAGACAAGCTTAATTACTACATTTTTAAAAGAGTGAACATTTTTAGCAACACTTTCAGGATCACGGGAGCATTACTGACAGCCGGAATGCACTGGATTTAAACAGCACTGTACTATTTTTAGCCTTAAAATCAACACTTACATAAATATTCCCAAACCAATTAGCAACAGCTGGAAAGTAAAGGTGTTTACATTTCGTTAGCACTAACTACAGCCAGTGCTCACAGGCTGCCAGGGAGCGGCCGGGCTCCAGGAGGGCAGCTTCTTCTCAGGGGTCAGAGAAGGGTTGGCACCCAGCTATCATTTCCAATTTCAGAAGAAGTCACTGATTTCATAGAGGAAAGTGTATTATTCATCACAGAGAACCATGAAGTTATACATCTCTAAAGAAATTCAACCCTATTTTTGAAGAAGAAGAAGAAGAAGAAGAAGAAGAAGAAGAAGAAGAGCAAGTATAGCTTCATATCACTATATCGATTACTACATGACACTCTGATGCTGGGGTCACAGAAGTAAATTTCTGGTAACACCCAGTCTAGTCAGCAGATCCTGGGGACACTTTCTTTAGAAGAAGAAGAAGAAGAAGAAGAAGAAGAAGAAGAAGAAGAAAAAAAAAACCAATTGGAAGAAATTGTTATCATGTATCTCTGGCAATAAGTGGAAAACAAAATTAAGAACAGTTTTATAATTTGGTTTCTCATTTCTGAGATGAGAACTAAAGTAGATTTATTCTTTAAACACAGATGCTTCCTTTTGCTTACAGGTAGAGGATCTATAGCCCAGCCAACCACCCCCACAAGCATTTTTAACCACCTACCTACAAAATTTTAACTACAAATGAGTTATGTTTCAAAAGCTCAAGCACATTGTGAAACAAGATTTGCATTCTGAAAAGTCAACTACAAGTTTCTTTTGAAATTGCACATGAATTTTAGAATGAGAGTAATGGAAACATTCAACAGAGAAGATTTGAACTGGCAGCTAGGCGCCTGTTGCTCATATATAAACATCATGTAAATTTTAAAATTAAAATTCTGGGCATAATTTCAGAATATTTGTTTTTACTTTTTTGAACAAAAATATCTTGCTAAAGTAAAAACAAACTGCATTTTCTATGCACACATATGAAATTAACATGCATTTTAGTAGTCAGGAACTGTTATTCAAACTCTACTAATATATATTCTTCATGCTGCGGGCAGTGCCTTGCTATGAGAAATCTCTGTTGACTTTATGAAACCATCCAAAAATATTTCAGTCTTAGCAATTTAACGTGCTTAGAATTTACTAAGCATACATTATTATATTTTAT